ACTGGGTTGTGAGCAATGTTGATGGCGGCCTGATTATCACAGTATAACATCATTGGCTTGTCATGCTCAATCCCCAGTTCCTCTATCAATGATTTTAACCACAATAGTTCAAAAACCCCATGTGCCATGGCTCTGTATTCTGCTTCTGTTGAAAATCGAGCAACAACAGATTGTTTCTTGCTTCTCCAAGAAACAATATTACCAACCACCAAGCTGCAGTACCCAGAAATAGATCTTTTGTCATCAATGTTTCCAGCCCAGCCAGCATCAGTATAGGCTTCAAGTTTCATATGGCCATGCTTGGCAAACAAAATTCCCTTCCTGGGGAGCCCTTCAAATAACATAGGATTCACTCTGTTGCTGCCATATGAGTGTCCCGGGGAGCATGCATGAATTGGCTGATGCAACTGACAGCATATGCAATGTCTGGCCGAGTCATGCATAGATACAGAAGTTTTCCAAGAAGTCTCTGGAAGACTCCTTTGTCTTCTAACAATGTTCCATCTGAAGCAGAGAGTTTATGACTCATATCAATAGGAGTAGCAACTGGTCTAGCACCCATCTTCCCTGTTTCAGAGAGCAAATCAAGAACATACTTCCTCTGGGAGATAAGAATCCCATCCTTGGATCTAGCAACTTCTATGCCAAGGAAGTATCTCAATTCCCCCAGATCTTTGATCTCAAACTCTGTATGGAGGAAAGATTTGAGATCATTAATTCCTGAAACATCATTACTAGTCACAACAATATCATCAACATACACAATCAGGTAAACTGCCAGGAGACCTCTCCTCTTTACAAAGAGAGTATGATCAGACTGTGTTTGTACATAGCCAAAGTTAACAAGGGTAGCCCTAAACCTCTCAAACCATGCTCTAGGGAACTGTTTTAGTCCATAAAGAGATCTCTTCAGCTTGCATACCTTTCCTTTCATATATGTTTCATACATCCCTGGAGGAAAAGACATATAAACCTCCTCATGTAATTCWCCATTCAGAAATGCATTCTTTACATMCAATTGATAAAGTGGCCAGTCAGAGTGAGCAGCCAAAGATAGAAGAACTCTCACAGAGGTCATCTTGGCAACAGGTGCAAAGGTCTCCAGATAATCAATCCCATATGTTTGTGTATAACCTTTTGCAACCAGCCTAGCCTTGTACCTCTCAATGGTGCCATCAACATGATATTTGATAGTAAAGACCCACTTACAGCCAACTGGATCCCTCCCTTCAGGCAAATCAACCACTTCCCAAGTGTCATTCTTGTGCAGGGCATCAATTTCGGATCTCATAGCATCCCTCCATTCTAGAATATTAAGAGCTTCTGACACAGACTTGGGAATAGGGTTAGAGGCAACAGAAGAAAGGTAGGCAAAATATGAAGGAGAAAGCAAACTATAAGAAAGGTGTTTGGAAATGCAATGTGTAGTACACTTCCTTTTTCCTTTCCTAATAGCAATGGGAATATCAAGGTCAGGGAATGATGGCTTCAAAGGGGGTTGAAACAGTACTTGTTGTCTCATCTGTAACTGGAAGTGCATGAGGTTCATGTGTTGTAGGGGAAACAACATGCTCATTTCTAGATCTTTGCCTTTGATACATCCTGAGATTAAAGAGAGGACGAGGAGGTAAAGGAGGAAGAACACTGAGACAGGGAGAGTGGAATGATTGATCCTCCCTTGATTCATTTGAAGAAGAAAGAGACTCAGTAAAAGACTCAACTGGGACAGGAAGAGGAAAAGCAAAGACTTGTGACAAATCCTCCCCCTTTGGACAATGTCCTTCCATAGAGGAACCATAAAAGGAAGAAAGCTCATCAAAGGTGACATCCATTGCGACAATATCGAGTACCAGTCTTTGGATCAAAGCAACAGTAACCCTTCTGTGTGGGGGAATAACCAAGGAAGATACACTT